TGTATAGGGCAAAATGACAACACAGAATTAAAAAACAGAAAAACCCAAGATAGACAAGGGCAGATTACTCATGTCTAGAGGGACATTTTCCTCACCCACAGACTCCAGGTTCCTGTAGTTCTCCGACATCACTTCCCTGTATAAAGCCCTCTGAGCAGGGGTCAGGCATTTCCACTCCGCCAAAGAGAATTCTATAGCCACATCGCTGAAAGTCAAGCGTCCCTAAAATGGAAAACACATTTCAATAAAACATTATGGAGAACTGATTTATCACCTTCACACAAAATGAGAAAGAGAAAGTAAGTATCCATTTCATCAGATTGTGTTCTAACAAACCTACAGTAAGGTGTTTTTGAACATTTTTTCTCTATAGTTGCATTTCACTGCACTTTTTCATGAAAGATTTTAAGATCCCCTAAGTCACTGTGGAAGTCTTGATTTTATGGACAATATTGTAGGGCTGAGGACCCCACAGGGTCTTGGGGTATCCCTTATGCTGTGCTGAGGAGCAGCATCCGAGAAATAGAGACAGGACACAGAAGTATAAGGAAAATGCAGCTGGGCTCAGGGGGCCACGCCACCTATAAGCAGAGTCAGGCGAGGCCCCAAAAATCCAGAAGCGTGTTTATTTATCATGTCTACGTTAGGGGGCAGAGCAGTGAGTGAAATCATCTTTAAGGATAGTGATAGGATCGTGAGCAAAAAAACATGAGGTCCACCCCCATCAGGGCACCCAGGCTAGGAGATGGACAGTGCACAGCAAGGGGTCCATTCCCATTAGGTCATGGAGGCAGGTGCTGTGTTCCATAAGGGGTTCACTCCCATTAGGTCACCAAGGCTTGGAGGTGGTCTGTGCGCAGTGAAGAGAGTGCAGTGTGCAATATCTCTATGTATGGGCATGCTACTTCTAAGAAGATTTATGTGGTGATGCTTTAAGTCACATGGCGGTGACAGAGTTGTCAGGATTACTGCCACCAACTGGCAGCTTCCAATTAGTTCTATAGGAAGATGCTTTTGAGCAACACGGTAACAAGAGCTGATAAAGTTCACAGTCACCAAGGTCGATTACCGGTCAGAGGGCAGCCTTCCACAAGAACTGGAGCAAGGTCCTACAACTCCTTTATCAGGAGGTGTGGCTCTCTCCCCAAGCCTGCTATACAGCGGGTGTCTTTACGATACTGAACGCTGCCACCTGGGCCATGGGTCCTTGTCCTGGTATAACTGTTTTCCCTAAATCATGCTCTGCACTGTTTCTGCTCCAGACATTCCTCCGACTATAAGCTTATTCCTTAATTCATGCTCTATACTGTGTCTACTCTAGGCATTCCTTCCATTGTGAGCTAAGATATATAGGGAAGTAACTGAGTGGTAAGATATTCTTTAGGCACTCAATCTATGTACTAACAGATGATAATACACAGAGGATTATATAAAGGGAAATAACTGAGTAGTGACATTATAAAATAAGACCTTCTTCAAGTCCTAATTCCATAAACTATTACACGATTATATAAAGGATTCTATAAACAAAAATAACTGAGTAGTAATGCTATAAACTGAGATATTCTTCAGGCCTTAATTGTGCCAGGATTCTGCTTAGCTCTGCTACAACGGTACCTATATGGGGGGTTACTCACAAATATGAAAAATATACAAAGAGGAAGAAAACACAGAGCTGGGCTCACACGTGTAATCCCAGCACTTAGGGAGGCCAAGGCAAGCAGATCATGAGATCAGGAGTTCAAGACCACTGTGGCCAACATGGTGAAACCCAGTCTCTATTAAAAACACAAAATAAATAAAATTTTTAAAAGATACAAAAATAGGCCGGGCGCGGTGGCTCACGCCTGTAATCCCAGCACTTTGGGAGGACGAGGCGGGTGGATCACGAGGTCAAGAGATCGAGACCATCCTGGTCAACATGGTGAAACCCCGTCTCTACTAAAAATACAAAAAATTAGCTGGGCATGGTGGCGCGTGCCTG